TTGTTAATAGATCTTCCACCAATCCTGATGCCACAATTCTCCTCATAGAGCCTAGCTTCTCGGATAATCTGCTCTGCATACATGTTGAAAAGGTATGGAGACAGGATGCATCCCTGGTTCATCTTTCTCTTCAATAAGACTTAGTTTACTTATTTTTTTCTTTCATTGTCTATGATTTAGAATCATTGCTACATCCAAGATCAGAAGGATTTGCTATGCGATTTTTGTCTCTGAGTTTTATAATGTTAGCTCTTTAATTTAGGTATTTTATCCACTTTGAGTATTTTTTTGTGTATAAAGTTAAGGTCTACGTTCTTTTGCAGGTTGTTGTTGTTATGTGTTGTTGAGTCACCTGTGACCCACAGCAACACTGTGTACAGCAGCTCGGAACCCTGCCCTGTCCTGAGCCAGTGTCACTAATTCCGATACACCAACCCCCGCTTACTGTATCAATCCATTTCATCCGGGATCTTCTGTGCTGTCCCTCCACCCTTCCAAGCATGATGTCTTGTTTCCCAAAACATTAATGGTCCTTTCCCCTGTGGATTTATTTTCACAAACTTGTCTGAACTTAGAAGTTTAATTTTAAGCTTTTTATACTAAATGAGTTTCTAGGTTAATCTTAGTTTAACAAGAAACTTAAGCAGCTCTTTCCTTGACCACTATAAATAATCAAAGTTTTGTAATTTAAGTAAAGAAGGAAAATTTTTATTCAAATAGAGCAATGAATTTTCCAAAGAAAATTTACTCTGTGCTTCTAAGTGTGAAAATGTGACATTGATGATCTCTGTGAATAGTTTTTTGTTACTAGAAAATACTGATTTCTAACATTGAAAATAAAATACTTCAGAAAACTTTGACACATAAAAATAATTTAAAAATGGTATGTATTCTAGAGTATTGCAGGAGATGGGTGTCAAATGTTTGAAGAACAGCTATTAGTATGGATCAGGCTATAGGAGAATTAGGTGATTCTGCTTTTTAAAAAAATTCTTTTTGATTGTGCTTTTTAATATAATTTTTTACTTCTTGTACTTGTTCTTATTCAAGTTGTGATATACATCATACACTTTCTAACAATGAGAAAACTACTCCGTTGTTTGCACTGAATTTACTTATTTGCTCAGTTTTAGAATATGTGAAGAGCTTTGGTGACCTAGTGGCAAGAGGCTGCGCTGCAATCCCAAAGGCAAATAGTTCTTGGCCACCAGCTTCTCCTTGGGACAAGCATGGACAGTCACCTCCCATGTGATTTATTGCCAGTGTAGATTTGCCGGAGGGTCAGCAGTGGGTCTGGTTTGACTCAAAGTTATAGAACAACAACAGTGACAACAGAGTATGTAAAATATTTTAAAATTATTAATGTATTCCACTGTAGAAATACACTTATATACTGATTTATTTTTATTGTTACTCTACGGGTATATGCTAAGGGGGCCCCAGAAAACTTAATAGTACTCCTGTGAAACCTGAGCAGGTTATACTC